AAAGAATACAAATTAAAACAATAAAAAAATGTAAATTAAACCAGATCTTTTTTCTTTTTTTTTCTTTTTTTGGTTTTCTGAGACAGGGTCTCATTATGTAGTTCAGGCTAGCCTTAAAATCACTATATACCCCAGGCTAGCCTCAAACAAATGGTGATCCTCCTGCCTCTGCCTCCCAAGTGCTAGGATTACAGGCATGAGCCACCATAACCAGCTCTTAAACCAATGCCCTTGCTCCAGACCAGATTTACGCCAGATAAAATGAGCCTCGAATTAGAAGAGACCTTTTGAGCCTCCCCTGCAATGTTTTTTTTTTTTTTTGCATGATTATTACAGTTTCATTCTAATCCATTATCTGCATTCTTCCCTTAATCTAAAGGTCCTCCACAGCCAGATACCTCCTTCACTTTCTCCAGCCCACACACACAGTTTGTCTACACTATTCTCACAGTACTAAGCAATTTCATACAGTCCCATCAGTCTCACTAACAGTAAATATACTTTCCAGGAATCTTCAACACATATTTATTGAACACTCAAGAATTCCCCATCCTGGCGAATGCCTGTAATCCCAGCACTGAGGAGGCTGAAGGATCACGATGGGTTATATAGCGAGTTCAAGGCCAACTTGAACTACCTAGTGAGACCCTGTCTCCAAAAAATATCAAACTGTTAAATTTCCCCAAAGATTAAACAGTCTCAGATCTAGGCCTGATTACAATCTAGTTACCATTTGCAAAACTAAGAATAATTCCCATTAACTAAATAAATATCAAATTCAGCGTACAAAAAAAAAATTTAGTGTACAACTCTGTATTTGAATACTGTTCTTATTAAGACTAAGGAAGCCTTTGGAAAGAGATGGAGGCACACACTTGAATTCCCAGTACTCTGGGAGGCTGGAAGCAGGAGGATCACAAATTCAAGCCCAGTCTAGGCAATTTAAGAGATCTTATCTTAAAATAAAAAATAAGCCAGCCATGGTGGTGCATGCCTGTAATCCCAGTACTTGAGAGGCTAAGGCAGGAGAATCGCCATGAGTTCAAGGCCTGCCTGTGCTAGTGAGTTCAAGGCCACCATGAACTACATAGTAAGACTCTGTCTCAAGGGGGACGAGGGTGCTGGTGATGTAGCTCAGCATAAAGGTCCTGGGTTCAATCCCCAGTACTAGGGAATGGGGTGGGATGCAGTTACTTGAACAAGGCTTCCTCAACATGGAGCTGTGTCCTTCTATTCCCCCAGTTCCATCACACTGATGGGTACCTCATACACAGATTGCAAAGACACTCATATTTTAAGACATTATCCTAATAAATGAGCAGCATAGTTTTTCCCAACATACTCCCATTATATCAATAACTTCAATATACTCATTTTCTTCTAACTGCCACAAACTTCAGTCACACCACTGTGAGGTACTTCCTGTGCACTACAAGTCTATTAAAAGCCCTCAGGATTCTTTATTTTTTCTTCAGCATTCCCTACAAATTATCACCACTTCCATCTAATGCTATCCCTCATTCTGCCTCTCCCCTTATCACATTTCTCTATTCCTCCTCCCAACCCACCCAAAGCACATCCGTCCACACCATTCCTTCCTAAAACCTAAGACTGCCACAGAAGCCTAGAAGAAACATCCGGGGTCATTGTTACATAGTTCCAGGTCCCAATACCAAAACTCTCTGTAAGACTGTCACAGAACACTACAAATGCAACCCGGTAACTACTTCCAAGACGAACAACTGTCACTGTCAAGTAACTCCTTGTCTCTAACCAGCAAATCTAATGCTGCAAAGGCACTGTTTCCTACAGACTTCCTCACAGTGTAATCCTTCAAAACTTCCTTTTGTCATTTACCCAGGATTTCCAGCCTAACCCTAAACACTTCTCTCCTCTCCAAGAAAGGCGTCCTAGTCTAAACCCTCATCTAACACAGTGGAGAAACCGAGAGATAGAGCCTAAAGTAGACTAAATTCAAAGCATAAGCTTATTATTTAAAGACATAAGCATGAAATAAAAGAACTCAATAACTATAAAATCAGAAAGGAAGATAAAAAGGGGATAAGGTCAATGACACAAATCCTTTTCATTCATGGCAGTCTGACTCCTTGATAATGTCATTTTGATAAATCAATAATGGTATGTGCCTATTACTTGGGAGACCTGAAGAATTCTAAGCATGAAAAGAACTACAAAAAATAATCCTTAGAATTAGTAACATTGCCAGGTGTGGTGGCGAACCCCTATAATCCCAGCACTTAGGAGACTGAGGCAGGAGGATCTCCACCAATTCGAGGCCAGCATGGGCTACATAGTGAGTTCAAGAACAGCCTGAACTACATAGCAAGACTCTGTCCCGCCCCCCCCCAAAAAATTAGTGACCTCTGGAAGGTACCACTGCAATGGACAGGTAAGACAGGGGCTACTGCTTTACATTATTAAGTTCCCTAGAACAATTTTTAAAATTATATACACGTAGCCAGACATGGGGGGCCCCACCTGTAATCCCAGCATTCAGGAGGCTGAGGCAGGAAGATCACTGTAAGTTCGAGGCCAGCATGGGCTACATAGTGAGTTCAAGGCCAGCCTGAACTACAGAGCAAGACCCTGTCTCAAAAATACCAAAAAAAAAAAAAAAGTAATAATAATAATAATAGTAAAATAAAATAAAATTACATATATGTATTATTTCAGAATTTAAAAGACAGGAAAAACAATGACATACTTTGCATTATACTTACAAAAAATATTCAGTACTAGAGAGGGGAAGGGAAGGAAAACTGGCCCCCTCATACTATGACATAAAAATGAGTACAACATACTATGTAATGCAAGGACGTCCTTTTACAAAGTAAGCAAATCTAAATGTACTGACAGAAAGTTTTCCAAATGCTTAAAGTAACAATGCTGGATTATTTCTATAAGGAAATTTATAATAGAAACCCCTCTCCACTCCAATGCTAAATTAGTTGTTCTTCTTTAGAGATACAGTACCTACTAAAGGACTTTTTTTTTTTTTTGGTACCAGGGATCGAACTCTGGTCCTTGTGCTTGCAAGACAGGCGGCAAAACCACTGAGCTAAATCCCCAGCCCAACCTACTAAAGGAATGATTGAATTTTCCCTTCCCGCTTCCAAATTTCATTCTATCTTCCCCATTAATCTCTTCATTTTTAACTTCCATAAAAATTTTTCACACTTAACATGCTTATAACCCTCTCTTCAGCACAACTACTACAATGAAATGTAGTATTTAACACCAAAAGTGAATAATATCTGGGTAAATGTTAAGAGTATGGTTCTTTCAGCCAGGCATGGTAGCAAACACCTGTAATTCCAGCACTGGGGACGCTGAAGCAGGAGGACTTCAAATTCAAGGCCAGTCTGGGCTGGGCTACATAGCAAGTTCAAGGCCCTAACCCTACACCGCCCCCCCCCCAAAAAGTGGCTTCTCCCAGAGTTACCTCATGGAAATGGAAATCAGGTCTGCTGTGGGCTCTGCAAATACAGAGCTTAGTTCATTCCTGACAGAAATATTAACTGCCCCTCCACTCTGGCTTTAGAATCATCCAGTTTCTTCAGGTTCTTACAGTCCTGACCTCCTTACAACCTAAGATCAAAACAGACATTCTAGAGATCCTCCATTCTGCATGCCTGCATTCTGCTGGCTGCTATATTTTCTTCAATATCACCAAGGCTCAAGGAGGGAGTACATTGAGAACTGTGAATGGCAAAAGATACCAGCAGGTACAGAATCAATCCAACAAACTATACTCATCTGAACTATGGGGGGCCCCTGCCCCCATCATCAAGTATAATCTCATGTACTGCAATAGGCTGAATGATCTGGCACCAGCTTCATGGACCAAATAAGACAGTGAGGAAGAAAACCACTGAGTCAAGTAATTTCCATTCCAGCATTTGCCAAAACAGTGCTCATCCAGCCTCTGGTAAATGACAGTACTCTAAATCTACAAAAAACCTAAATTCTCCGGCCTCAAGAATCCCTCCCCACAGGCAAACTCTTTTTTCAAAGTCTGTTTCAGGGGTTTTCATCTTCAGGACTCCTGGTGCAGGACTAAAATGTCTCAGGTCAAACTATAGACTAAGGTCTCATTCTCAGTGACCCCCACCAAAGGCCTGAACCCACACTTACCAGACGTCATCTACTGAAGAGCCCAGACAGGTTCAGAAGAAGGCCATCCTGGCCCATCTGGAATAACTCTTTAGTCCCTGGGCCAGCGTTTATTAATTATGCCACATCTGTCTATTCTGTTATGCATTCCCTGCATCTTCTCTAATATTTAGCTCTCCTCCTTGCTTCAAACGCTTTCTTTTCTATTCAAGGAAACTCCTATATCCCTTCTTTCCTTGCCTCGAAAACGCTTCACTTCTTTCCATAATGCAATACCAAACGTAGCTGCACAATGAACACCCCTCGGAATCCTCAAGACTCCTCCAGGGCCACCCCCTGCATTCCTCCACCTCCTCGGCAACGTCCCCCGGCCTCTCCCCCTTTCACACTCCCACTATGTCTCCTGCAAGCATTCCCTTTCCCCAACCCCTGCCCTTCCCTTCTCCTGAAGAGCACACTCGGGCAGCAACAGCGACTGAGGCCTGCGGTACAGAAAGCACTGCACCAGGCACGGCGGACAGAGAGCTGGCGTCTCCCCGGCCTCCTCACACCCACACCCGACACCCCGCGGCCGCCCTGCGAGCACCCCACCGCCATCCCTACCTCTGACACCCCCCTCCGGCCTCGCAGGCCTCCCGCTTGCCTCCGCCACCCCCGTCATTATTTGTCCGCAAGCCCTCAAGCCGCGTCCGCGCCCTGCCCGCCCGCGCCCCGGCCCGCCCCGCGCTCCCCAGAGCCTCGGCCCCCAGCTCGGGCGCCCCCCGCCTGCCTCGCTCGCTCCCCGGGGTCAGGCCGTTACCGTCGCGCGCTCCCTCCCTCCTCCCTCCTCCTCCCCGGGCCCGGGCCTGCCAGGCCGAGCGCTTTACCGCGGGCGGGCGCCGACTCGCGCGGTCACAGACTGCAGGCGGCGGAGGCTCCAACCTTCCTAGCGGCCGTGAGAGGAGGGGAAGGGGGGAGGGGGGAGAACTTTTGCTGTGGCAGCTCCCGCAACAGCTCCCACCCCTGCGCCTTTCTCCTCTTCCTCCCCCTCCTCCTCCTCCTCCTCCTCTTCCTCCTTCTCTTCCTCCTCCCAGAGCAGTAGAGAGGCAGACATACCGCGGCTAGAGCGCCGCCGCGGTCGCCGCCACTGCCGGCGCGGTGCATTGTGGGAAGCCCCGCACCAGAGAAGCGCTCCGAGGCGCCCGCCCTCGCCTGGCGCGGAGACTTGGCTGCAAGACCCAGCGAAGCTCCGGTTCCGGCGCCTGCGTGTCACCAGCCCAACTTGGCCGAGAAAACTGGATCCGAGCTGTGGATACCCCCGTTTGGGCCCAGGAGGAAAGCGACTGGAAGGAGATCGCAACTGAGGAGGCCTCTCGGACTAGGGAGTGCTCCCACCTGCAGCCTCAATCTCTGTCAGATGCCTGGAGAAGTGGAGGGGTCGGGAGCCTTTCGGGACGGGGAAGTGAAAGGGGCGGGGACCTAGGTGAAAGGTTGTCTGCCAGAATGTCTTGGCTTTTTCGTTTAACCTCACTTACCTAACTCCCTCCTCCGCCACCTCAGATGCCACCTTTTCCTGAAGATAAAGCCCTGCGCCCTTGAAACTCGCAAGCCTTGTTAGTGAGACGTAGTGTGACCCCAGAGAAACTGCAAGAGAGCCGGTCCTGGACACTCCTGAGCAGGGTCTTAGCGTAGTATTTCGTGCTGAGTTCACCTGGAACCCAAAACTACGGCTGTATGGCAGCATAGACTTAGTAACGGTCTATACAGAGCTTGGATTGTATAGTTGTTTCATCCTTAGCACTTTAAATGCCCTTCGCCTAATCACCTCCTCCTTAATCCTTCACCTCCTTAAGGGTGCCTTAATTCAACTAACATTTATTAGGCACCCTGAGGTGCTTGTGCGTACTGCAGTGGCTTACAATTGCTCCTATGTGTCCCCTCCCTAGCACAAGGTCAGCTTAGTAACAAAAGATGCTCAGTGAATGTTGAATGATTATGAGAATCGGGAACTTTCTGTGGGATGAAAGACCTTCATTATGATTTCTTCATAATGATCTGAAGATTTTTTCTTTAACACCTTTCCACAACACTTAAACATAACCTTTCAGGGGAAAGGAAAGGGCATTAAAATATCTGTATAACTATTTCTGGAATTCTCCTTCCTTTGTCCACACCCACCTTCCCACCCTTTGCCAACTGACTGTTCATTTGAATAGTGCTTTTTGGCAAAACTCCAAAATCCCGCATTTTGCACTGGTGATGACACTGAATTAGATTACTGTCTGCAAGGTTAATGTTCCCTCGGGCATTAACCTTAGTAAATCGTGATGCCTGTTTAGAAATAGCTGAGGCCCAAAGGTTCAGCTTAATTTAGACACAGGTAACTAAGAAGAGCAAGGATAAACCACAGCTCCACAATCAACTATCCATGTGCTTTCTCCACTGAAAAATATAAATTTTAATAAGATGACAGTGCATATTCTGAATGCTAATTGCAACAAAACAGTGATATAAGCTAGAGCAAGGGACAATTATCTGGAGGACAGCCTTCTGGCAACTTCTAGCATCTGCAATGACATCAAATTCAGATGTCAAAATTAAAAACACCTCTGGCAGCAAAGAAGCAGACTCTCAGTATTAGGCAGTGGGGAAACTGATGACTGAAAAGGGCTGAAGGCTGGAGATGACACCCAGTGGGGTATGATTGATTGGTTTCCCTCTAGAGATCTTAGCACTGTAATTGGGAAACAACAGTCTAAAATGGGCAGAATAAAGATCACTATAATTCTGACAGAAATTGTAGTGAGGAGTAAGTTTTCTTTCTAGGTTAAACTTCTGGAAATAATTTTCAGCCCCAGTCTGGTAGCCACCATTGTCTTGCTCACCTCCCCAAACACCAGCTCTAGACATTCAGGTAACTTATTTTTATAATTGTGGACTCAAAAGAAGTTGTAAATATAGTACAAGAGTCTCACCCTTGCCCTAGCACAAGGCCCTCGGTTTGATCCTAGCACTGCCCCCCTCCCACCAAAATAATAATAACTTGAATAAAATATTCATACCAATCTTATTTTTAATAGCAAGAAAACTAGAAACAACCTAAATGTACCTCACCAGGGAATGGATGAACATCCATAAATAGAGTACTGGTTAGTAATAAAAAAGAATGAATATTTGATTCATGGAACAACATAGGTGACATCTAGCAAAGCTCTATATGAAAACCAGGAAGTTGACACTGGTACATTACTGTTAACTATATTCCAGAATTTCCTCAGTATTCACCATATTTTTTTAACCTTCATAGTTACACATAAGTGTTTATGTAGCTCAGTGCAATTTTATCTAATGTATGGATCTGTGTAACAACTACAACAAAGATACAGAACTGTTCTATCACCACAAAAAATTACTAATACTACCCTTTTAGATTCACAAATTCCCTCCCACTCACTCTCTGTCCTCTGGCCACTAATCTGTTCATTATAGGTTTCTCATTCCAAAAAATTTAAATAAATGGAATCATTTTTATAACACATGACTTTGAGAATGAAGCCGTTGCCTAAATGCCTTGAGTTTCATCTAAGTTTTTGCATGAATCAAATATTTATTTATATTGCAGAGTACTTATATTACAGAGTATTTATGGATAGTCTTTATTTATAAATACTCATATTGCAGAATATTTATATTGCAGAGTATTTATGGATATTCATCCATCCTCAATGATGTACATTTAGGTTGTTTCTAGTTTTCTTGCTATTTAAAATAAGATTCCTATGAACATTTGTGTTCAGGTTTTGTGGGGTTTTGCGGGGGAGCAGTGCTAGGAATCAAACCCAGGCCCTTGTGTATGACAGGCAAGTGCTCTACCAGTAAACTACACTCCCAGGCACTGTGTAGGGTTTTTCATGAATTAAGTTTAAATTTCTCTGGGATAAATGCCAGAGAGTATGAGTGATGGGTCATATGATAAATGCATATTTAATTTTTTAAGAAACTGCTATGCTATTTTCCGGAGTGACTATATCATTTTATGTATGTATGCATGTATGTATGTATGTATGTATTTCAGTGGTAGAGGCTGAACCCAGGGCCTGCTGCATGCTAAACAAGCACTCTGACTGAGCTACACTACACCTCCAGCCCAACTCTTCAGCATTATCCCTGGGCTTTTTGTTTGTCTTGCTGTTTTAATAGCTATGTTATCTCATTGTGTGGTTCCTTTCCATTAAAAAAGGGCTCTATGTAAAAACTGACTGCTGAATAGAAGGTACATACCTACTTTGCTTGGTGTGCTTACAAACAAACAAAGTTCTCTTTTGTTGAAATATTCATTATATGTCATAAATAATACAGTCTTTATTGGTAAGCTATAAAATATCTTGAAATATTGGATTTATATAATTTATGCCTTTTTTTAACTTCTTGAGATGGCTCCAAGACAACAAACAGGCCTACAATAATAAATGCTGATGGGTTGTGGGGAAAAAGGAACCCTTCTTCATTGTTGGTGGAAGTGTAGACTGGCCCATTTACTGTGGAAATCAGTGTGGAGATTCCTCAAAAAACTGAAACTAGAGGTTCCATTTGACCAAACCATTCCCTTTCTTGCTATCATCCCAAGAGAATTAAAAGCATCCTACCACAGTGATATATGCACACCCATCTTTATAGCAGCACAGTTTGTAATAGCTAAATCTTGGAAACAACCCAAATGCCCATCAACTGACAAATGGATAAAGAAGATGTGGTTTTCTTTTTATACATCTTCTTTTTATTTCTGCCATAAAGAAAGATAAGCTTGAGAAATTTCTAGCTAAATAGATGCACCTTGAGACCAAACTCTTAAGTGAAATAAATTGGACACACATGTTTAAATACCTCATTGCTTCCCCGGTGGGAGAAACAAAAGTGGAAATAAGGATCAAAATATATAATAGATATTGATAAATGGGAAGAAAATGTTCAAATGAGAAGGGGAACAAGGCGGTGGCGGGGGGGGAAGGAAAGGTCAAGAAAAAAAGAAGACTAAAAAAAAATGGAAACAAAGCTTTTGTAAATGAGGGGAAAGGGGATCAAAGGGAGGGGAGAATGGGGGAAAAGCAAGATATATCATGTATAGGTACAAATTTCCTACAATGAATGTTATGTATATCTAAAATGTACCAATAAATGTTTTGCTTCCAAAAAAAATAACCAGGCCTAGAAATTTCTTCTGAGGTTGAGCATAGTGGCTCATGCCTTTAATCACAGCACTCAGGAAGCTGAGGCAAGACTATTTCAAATTCAAGGCTAGCCTAAACTACGTAGCAGGTTCAAGGTTGGCCTGGATTACCTTGAGATGTTGTCTCTAAAAGCAAAACAAATGGCATTATTTTCGGGTAGCCTGCTTCTAAAAGTGGCTCACCAACCAAATGTTACCAGGTTCTAGGTTGCTCACCTCTCCCCCTGGAGTTAAATTCCAGGTTCTTCTCATCTCGAACGAAGAATTGAACAAAATGAGCAGAATGCAGTTGTCAAGTTTATTTGAGAAAGTAAGAGTGAAAAGTGAGGGAGAAGGCGAGTTTGAGCCAAGTGAAAGAGGAAAAAGCAAGATAAAGGAACACCTTGGCGAAAACAGGTTGGACTACCATAAGGAAAGCCACAGTAGCAAGCTCTTCATGGCTTGCCCCCCTTTTATGCTGTCCAAATCTGGAGGAAACCTTTGAGAATTTCTACATACAGGTCCTGAGAGGCAGCGCTGGGACCCAGGACTCAGGCTGAGGTCAGGTCCAGGTATTCTGTTGAAATCCTGCTCAAGTTCGCATGAGAAGTCCAAGTGCAGGGCTCTTCTGCTTCAGTGTTCCAGGATCTTGTAATTAACAGGTCTCGCCTACTTCCCCAGCCAGTTTTGCCACGCCTTACTCTCCTGTCTCACCAAGGCAGTGCGCACCCATAATCCCAGCACTTTGGGAAGCTGAAGCAGGACATTGCAAGTTCTAGCGCAGCCTGGTGAATTTAAAGATTTAGCCAGACTATCTCAAAATAAAAAAGGACTCAAGATATAGCTCAGTGAGAAGACCCTGGGTTCAATGCCTAGTTCTAA